TAGAATATAATTATATTTCTAGTTCCATATCAGTTGGTTTACATGAACAGTTCACTTGTCCAGAGAAATCTATGACAGGAAAATCTCCTTTTTCACTTTGAAAACAAAATCTAGCCAAAAAAAGAGGTGATGTAACTTTGTTTAACTTTGCTAAACTAAGGCAAATTATGTTTTTATTTTCTCTAAAGAAGGAGTAATAACCTGTTTCTTTGTGTTTAAACAAATGTTATTGTTATCCTTGTTAGTTTGCTGCTCTTCTGCTCTTAGCTAGGAGCATGTTAAGAGGAACTTTTCCTTCCTAGCGCATTTTGTAATAATGAGGCAGTCAGAAATAGAGAGGCTTATATTTGGATTGAGGTGGGTACTCCGTGTTCTGGTGTTGAATATTGTGCAACAGCCTCACTTTTATTAATAAATCACTCCACTGCTATCTTTCCCTTTTACTTCCAATCGATTTACATTTTCTGCTGTGACACATAGCGTTACTTAAAAATGCTTTAAAAATTATTTCTGTGTATTATAAATTGTTCCTTTCTTAACACCAGAATATTGAGAGGTAACAAATTTGGAAATGAGCCATTGTTATTTATGTCCTAATGAAAAAGTTAGTGGCAAGGATAATTTTTAAGATGTTTTATATTTTACTTTAAGTAGCATTTTGCAGTACTGTCAAATGCATTTATTTTATTTTTCTTAAAATCCTTAAATTGTCACCAATGTTCAGAACTGCAACTGCCATTTCTTTGGGGTTCTGTAATTTAATATTTGTACTTGGATGCATTGAGGTTTTTAGTTGCTAGCTATTCCTTTGGGGATATAATTTAGTATTTGTACTTTGATGACTTGACAGTTTCAGTTTCCTTAAAGTTTTGGCATGAGTAAATGGGATCAAAGGAGGTGAAGTATATTGAAATACTGATTTTAATTTAAATCTGTTTTCTAGAAAAAGGCAGAAAATCTTCCTCTTCAATTCCTATTTTAGTACCTAAGTTGCATAGACTGAGTAAATATTTGTGAACTGAGGATAATACTTGAATCTGTCTTTTTCAGAAAGTGTGTGGCTGTGTTGTAATGAAGCATGCCACATTTCTAGCCCATGTTGTTACAGTATTCTTTTCATGCTGATAGCAGGGTCAGTCCTTAACTGCAAAAAGATGAGTTGGCTATGAGCTGAACATTCAGCAATCATCTCCCCATTATCCTAGCTAGAGTACATTTCAGAACTGACGTTTCACCCTTCAAGAAACGTGTGTTTGCTGATGAGATTTTAAAGAAAGCCTCACTTTGTGTCATCCTAGCCCTGTTCTTCAGTCATGGCCAGGAGCTCTTCTTCATTAGAGGCTTATTTTTCACCAAGTACAGTATCACTTTCTCTCTTATGATTTGTTTAAAGGTATATTTTTAGCTTTTCAGTCTCCCTGTTTTACCAGTTTCTTGTTTTGTATGTTGGATAGTGTGTTAGATTTGGGGAAAGAAGATGAGGTTGAAATAGGGATTATCTGGCTTTTCAGCTGTTGCCTGAACTTTTAGTAGTGTCTGTCATCTCCAAATCCATCCCATTCACTTATGCATTCACTAAGTAGGTATACTGCACCTCTGGAAATGTCAAGTGGAGTGTTAGCTATTTAGATAGAGAGTTGGATTACAATGCCCAGCACAGTATCTGGAATAGTTGCCTTCCTCAGGGAGCACTAAGTGTCCCCTTAAGAGCATTGCTCAGCTCCCCACCCTATTGTGCAGCTGTAGTACTTAGCTCTGGTTTCTACATGGAATTCTCCCCAGCCCATCTAACTCATTTGGGGCCCAAATTGTTATACTAGTCACACTACCTGCTATAACAGCTACGCCTTCCAATTTCAATAGTTCACAGGATAATGCAGTGTGCTTCTGATTAAAGACGCTCTTACTTGTGGTCAGTTAAAAACCCAGGATGAGAGAAACTCATGCTCCTTCCCGTTTCCTTGGTTGTCAGCATCCAGGGTACAGAAGGTGACAGAGCATGAAGGACCACATACCAAAGAGTTTAGTAGGCCACTGTTTGGACATCACAAATACCAGCTCCCTTTCTCCCATTGCATGGAGCCCAGGTATGTGGCCACCTGTAACTAGGAAATGCAAGTAGTTCAGTTCCAAAGAATGTCTGGTAGAATGGGTTGAAAGGGTAATGATGAGCATGTGTTATGTTTTTTTTTTTTTTCCTGCCAATAAGTAGAGTGCCTATCTTCCTTTAGTAAGTGATTGTTTCAGAAATCCTTTGGATATTGAAATGGAGTTAAATATTTTATTTTCTTTTTCCAATACAATGTACATACTGAAAGAATAGGTAAACTAAATATTTAGAGGTTTTACTGTTACCCCTTAAGAGATACTGATATTCTCTTTCACAGTATTGCTGTTCTGCACCTGCCAGACTAGTTTGTTGAAATCTTCCCTTAGTGAAGCCCTGCTGAGCTTCCCTCTTTCCACCCCTGCTTCCCTAGAGATAGTTAAATCAGAGTTTTAATAGTTACCAGTTACATCCTCAGTGTTCTGCTTGGGCTTGAACATACCTGTTAGTTTAATTCATTCATCCGTTCACTCATTCAGATATCTATAATGGAATGAAAGAGAGAGAAAGAAAGAGAAGAGAGAGGAGGGAGTGGTAAGGAGGGAAAGAAAAGATTGAAATTTGCTCTGGTACAGTTGGACAAAGGCAAGGGGGAAATGAATTTAGCCCTACATTGTGTATAAGGGAGAGGAGGGGACTGCTTGTTTCAGAAGAAAAAAGTTTAGTCCAAGGCTCTTATTATTAATGGATGATTTCCCTTCCCCAGACAATTAGCTTTTTGGAGAAAAGACTCTACTTTGATGATCTCTAGTGTAGCAGTAGTCATACGTGGCATTTAGGTGAATTTATCAGATGAAGATATAATTGAGTACCTCTGTAAGCTTTATTTACTGTATACTTTCCTGTACATTAACTTAAATTTCCTGTACATTAACTGTACAATTTCCTGTATATTAACTCTTATCATAGCTCTATGATAAGACATTCTTATGTCTGGTTTAAAATAATGAATTCAAATTTAAGAAAAGACTTGATTTGCTGTTGCTGCATAGTGGATTGACAGAATAGATCTCAAGTGTTTTATTCTAATTTTTTGCATTTTTCGTGCTTAAAAACATACATTTCACTATCAGAGTGGTACTTCAGAATTTAAGGTGTGTGCTTTGGGGGAGGAAACATCAAACTGCTTGAATCTTTGAACAGTGAAGGCTATTCATTTACACTGAGCTCATGCGAGTGTTCTTTTTCAAGCAAAAACAGAAATGGTCCTTCCATCACGTATTATAGGGCCATATATTCCTGGCAGCACAGTGTTTTTTATGTAGTAGGTGCTCTGTAAGTATTTCTTAACTAATTGACAGTGATTTAAAATTTCCACATTAGATATTTCAAAATTAGACAAGCTTCCTGCTAGAAGTTATCATGATTTTTTACCTATATAATCACTGTGTCATAGGGGACATAATTTGTCTGTGATAAACTCTAAATCCTGGAATTTTTAAAGGAACTTTTCAGCACACTCGCTGGGTTTGTTTAGCTTTGGAATTTATGATAGACAGTCGTTGTTTTCATCTCTGACTTACCCATATTTTGTAGCATAAGGGTATCAGGATTCTCTACAGAAATGTTATGACTTGATGCACAGTTTACTAAAGTTGCAGTTGGCAAAGGATGAAGACATTGCTTTAGAGAAGTTTAAAATTTCACATTTTCATAAAGTCTGATTCACTTCAAGCTTGTCTGTCTGAAAGCAGACCCACTTAGTATCCTCCACACCTCCCACTTGCTGCCAGATGCTCCCCATTTCATTCAGTGGCAGGCCCTAAACACAGAGCATGCTGACTACTTTCTCTTTTCCTTTATAGTGCTTATCTAATTCCCTTGCATGTCATGTTGCCTTAACCTCTAAAATATCCCCAAATCATGGAATTCAAGACCTGCTTTAAAATCAGGTGTTGATTGCCTTTGGTAATCTTTTCAGAGCTCTGATACTATGGGAAAAGAGACTTCTAAGAGTTCACTGTCAAATCAGCAAGATGACTGAGGTTAAAAACGTAAATAAATTTTAAGGAAGTTTCAGTGTTAGAAGACACTTCTCTTTGGTATACTTGAGTAAGAATTTATGTCATTATCTCTGGAAACATTAGCTTTTCCAACTCTGTGACCAGAGGACTGAATAGACAATGGGAAGTTTTCAAAGTGTATGGCACATAAGAGGTGGTTGATAGATGTGTAATAAGTGAGGGGATGGACAGATGGGCAAAAATAGAATGGTAATGGTGAGAAGATTGTAGACTCAGCTTCTGTTTTCTGATTTTGCTTAACAGGAATCTGGTCTTACAAATTTTGTTTTGTTTTATTATTTCAAGAGCAAGATAAATGCCAAATGTTAGAAAGAAGTAATGTTAATCATTACTAGATAAGCACCTCTAGCACCTCGGTCCCCTATTTAATGGCATTTCAATGTGTAGGAAATTCAAGAGCACTTCAGAAAGTGTATATAGTTGAAGACTCAGTGGTGTCTGCAATGTGTTTAAAAAGAAAGGTGTGGAGGATGTCAGTGGTATTAGGATTTCAATCTGATATTTTTGCCAGAATTCTAGAAAAATTCTTATTTCTAATAGGTCACCAACAAAATCATATTAACCACTTAATGAAAGTGACATCATAATATTTATCCTGAACTTCGTCTTTCATCCACATTTATCCTGAACTTTGTCTTACTGCTAATAGGTCTTCAACAAAATTATATTAGCCACTTAATAAAAATGACATCATAATATTTACCCTGAGCCTTGTCATTATTAAATTGTAAAACTTCAAGTACTAAACAGTGAAGTTTAATGAGGTTTCCTTATTATTCCAATAAGTTATCCACAAGTTAATTTTACTCTCCCATATTTGACTGAAGTGAAAGACGTAAAAGTACATATTTTCGGCTTCTGTTTTCCAGGGTAAGATGGTGAAAGGAATGGGAGGTGCTATGGATTTAGTGTCCAGTGCCAAAACCAAAGTTGTGGTCACCATGGAGCACTCTGCAAAGGTAAAGTGTCCTCTGCTCTGGAAATGCAGCTTTTGGAAATTCACAGTACACCAAAATCATGTACATAAGGTCACCTGATTGTAATTTTGTATTGTTTTCTCTTGCTCATTCAAGGTGATAGCACTTATATTTTAGAGAGAAAGGTAATAATAAGGGTAGTTATTCATTATTCTTTGGCTAAATGGTTTTACTTTGTATGGAGCCAAATATCAGGGTATTCTTTGAATATCTGTTTTGCATACACATTAAAAGTAAAGGCTGTAGTGTCTCTAAAGGTAGTGAAAATGTATTGGGAGAGATGTAATTAATTCAAGTTTTAAAATGATTATAGTTGCTCACTTTCTGCAAAATGAAAAATACAACAAAATGTGGGCTTTAACAGCAGTTACCTTCATATAGGCAATATGACTTCTTAGCAGGGGTGGAAGATGGCATTTCTAGACGTGTTCACATGGGTAAAATGGTGATAGCAAGCGTTCTTACTCAGAAAGGTGTTGTATTTTATTTTGAGAATTCGATTATTTATTGAATGTCTATCATGTGCTAAGAGCCGCTATGCTTTAGCAGTGACCAAAACTGGATAAAAATGACTGATCTCATGAAGCTGATTTTCAACTTCTTTCTCTTCCTCTTCTTCCTCTTCCATCTTGCCATTTATTGAGCTTTTACTGTGTGTCTGCAAGAGACTAAGCAACCTGAGTGTACAAGCCCATAAGCTTGCTATAGGTATTTTTGTGTTTCTATAAAAAGAGCTTTAGAGAGATTAAGTCATTTGCCTGAGGCTGGGTACCTAGTGGAACTGAGATTAGACTGAGGTGTCTGTAGCAATGGAGTCTTTCTTCTTTATTCATAAATTAGTGTCTTGTACTAACTGATCACTTTCCTGCCTGAATCCTTTGGCTTCTGCTAACTTGAAAAGTTGATATTGGTTGTATCTTCTTCTTTTTATGTCATTTGTTCATTTTCCTTTATTTATTGTCATTCTTAGTTTTTAAATTCATTGGTTCTCATGTTGAGACCTGCTAATTTGAGGTGAAACAGTGGTACATTTGTCCTGTTTTTATTTAGTGATGCAGCATTGTCTATGAGCATGGAGCTGGAGGATTTGTACTTTGCTTGGTTCCCCTGGGGGAGTTCTGTTATAGTGATGTGTGCTATGAAATGATTCTGCTGTGAAAACTCAATAAGTATAAATTATCATAAATTGTTTAGTAAACAGTGGGAAGTGAGCAGTGGTGCATAAATGTGGAACAATACAAATGGAACCAACACAGGTGATTTCTGAGAGATGCCTTGCAAAAAGCATCCAAAATATATTTCAGAGGCAAAAGGATGCAAGCATGCAAATCAAATCTAAATCTTTTCTGGAACATGATATCTATTTGGAGAAAACTTTAATTTCCCTTTTGTTGTTACTTTAATATTGAGGCATAGGCACTGAAGCTTGGCATATTTTGGAATTTTTCTGCATTGACATTCAAAACATTATACCCATATTTAGCAAAATCTCTCTCCCCTCTACCTCCCTGCTTTCTCCCTCTGTCCCCACTCCCTCTCCCCTTCCCTCTTCTCCCCTCCCCTCCCCTCCTCTCCTCTTCTCCTCTCCCTTCTCCTTCTCCCTCTTTTGCTTCCTCTCTTTCTCTCTCCTTCTTTCCCTCTCTCTCAAGTCTTTTCTTTCTCCTCAGCTGGAATTTCTGATAGAGGAAAATAAATGACTTTTCAAACTGCTGTCTAGAAATCCTTTAGGACAGCTTTCTACAGTAACAGAATCACTTAACTTTTCATTTTTTTTTTCCTTTCACTGAGGAAATTAGAATTTTTTAAACTAGAACGGGAGTGAGATATTTTTCTCTAGATACTTTCATTTGAACAAACCAATAAAAATACTTGTGATTATGATAATTATAATGATTTGTTCATCCTTAATAGTTAGATAACCTTGAAAGTTTACCAACAGAGTGTCTCTTCTTAGCACCTTCACATCTTACCTATAGTTCTATGGTGCATGGTTGCTGCTTGGTATTGCCCACCTGGATCTGTAACCAGCCTGGCTGAAGGTGATGTAGGGACCTCACCATGTCTTTCCTGCATCTTTTATTCTAGTTCCAGGTTGGTAAGGGCTGGAAGAGAGGCAGAGAGTGGGAGCTCTTCGCTTGTGGCAACCTCTGCATGTTGTGACTTGTTCTTTTGCACATGCCAGGACTCTCACTGCCTTATGATCAAGGAACATCTAAGGGCACTAACCCTCCTATGTCTATAAGGCATGAAAGTGAAACGTTTGAAATGAAGGATTAAAACCTGAGAAAAGAAATATAATCTTGTATTCCCAGGGTGCTGAATCGTTTTCCATATGTAGGTACATCTATCCATTGGTTTTTCAGAAGTGACTTTCTTTCACTCCTTTTTGTCATCTGTAGGGTTACAGGTGTTATAAAAACAGCATTGGTTATTGCTTTAATCAGAGAAATGACTATTTCTTTGCAAACTTTTGCAGCCAGCTGTTTTCTTTATGTCAGGGGCCAGGTCCTTCTGGATCCTGAAATTTGGTTGCCTACTGCTCTTGAGTGACTCCTGGCTTCTGATGGCCTCTGGGGTGTTTGCCAGACACAGACATCAGATGATGCTTAAGGATATTTTCACTGAGGCTGAAATATCTGGGCCCCAGGAAAAATGAGGAAGTAGACAGTTTTGAGTTTTGTTTTGTGTTGGTGTCTGACTACTTTTCATCACTGGCATATCCCAGCTTCCAACGTGAAAACTTGGAAGGAAAAGAATAACAGTGCTGGTTATCACAGGTGGAGGTGTTATGCTTAATGTAACACAGACTTAGTCACAGCTTCTGGGTGGTCCTGTGAGGAGGATCAGGCTATAGGCTGGCAGAAGCTCCTCTGGTTAAGTGGGAGTTTGATTCATCTGGGGTCTGCCTGTGTTCATCTCCTGCCACGTTCTCACCAAGCTACCTCTACACAGGTCCCGCTCACATCCTCTCTGGTCATGAAGCTTCAGGTTTCAGAATTATCCCTTTCTTTGTGTTCGTTTTCCCTGGCCAATGGTCTCTGCTTTGGTGAGCAAACATATCTTTTTGCTTGCAAGAAAACAGTCTGAAAATATAATTTTGCCCCTAGTGCTTACCTTTCTTTCATTTTGTATTAGAATCTTCCAGATTTTGTCTGGCATGTAGTAGCCCAGTGACATTTCCCAGCTTCTCCTGCATGTAGATACATTGACCCCAACAGGCTTATTTCAATGGGATTTTAACAGTTTCAGTATCTGTCATTTCTAAGTCATGTCCATAATGATTAAGTCCATTACATTGGACTTTCTTTGATCTCATTCTATCTGATAAGTAGCAGTAGTCTTGGCCCCAGAGTTGTAAGTTGTGTCCTGAGGGGTGTAGAACTGCCCCACCAACCTGGGTCAGTATATGTGCCATCCTCTTCTTTACAGGTTCCTGCCTGGACTCCGTCCTTGGATCTCTGCTCGTTTTACCTGCTGCACTTACTTGAGTGCCATCCAGGTTTTCAGGACCAAATATTTCTCAGGTAGTGGTTCTGAGTCCTTTTCTCCCCCACATGAGGAGCTCTAGAATTATATTTCTGACTCCCTGCCAGACAACCCTACTTGGTTGTTCCAGAGCCACCTCAAATGCATCACATCCACAAGTGACGTTATTATTTCCATTAAGTGAAATTTTCCCCATTTTGCGCAGTTAAAGAAATGCTGCCTCTGTCTCAGCCTCTGTGTTCAGGCGCCCTGTGTGAACCCCTGTCTACAGCCAGCACAGTAAATATTGCATCCATAGCACTCCTGTAGTCTACTTCCTATTTATTTCTACTCTGCTTAGGCCCTTGTCATAGCTACATCGATCACAACTGGAGTGTCCCAAAGGTCCTCTAACTGCTGGACTCACCTTGGTGGTAAAACCCACCACTGATGGTATGTTCAATCTAAAACTAAAGCTGGATCACGTGGTTCTTATTTAAAATATTTTGATAAAGTCACCATTGCTCAGTTCATCTTATCCCAACTGCCTTTTGTGATCAGCTCCCCAGCTGCCGCCTAATCCGTTTCTTCAGAACTTCCTTTCTGCTGGGATCTCCACAGTGTGTCTGCTGCTACTATTCTTAAGGGATTCTACATTCTGTTCCCTTACTCATTTTTCCTGTCTCACTCCTACCTCCAGAAAAATCAAATAAATGATCTAATGTTTTGTACATTTTTGGCTAATACCTTCTTCCTGTCCTCTAGAAAGGAATAGTCCTTGGGGCTTTGTCTTCCAGTTTGGTAGAATTACTGTATCTTAATATTGGCATGTTAGTTTACTTGTTTGTGCCACCATGAAACATTTAGGTAGACGTACTCTGTACCAGGTACTATGAAAGGGTCTGAGCAAAAAAAGAAATGATGGAGAGACATGATCATTTATTTTCAGGCAGCTCAGAGTAGTCTGGAGAAAGTGTGTAATTGAACACCAAGTTCCACTGTGGAAGAGCAACTAAGAGCTTCTTGTGGGATATATGGAGCATTTGCAGGGAGATCTGAAGGCTGGCCACAGTTTAACAGATGGCAGGTGCTAAAGTATTGCAAGAAATGGAGCTGGGGCAATGGGACCAGGAGGACAGGGTTGTGGAGGGATTTACAGTTTGGTCCTTGTTGTCGGAGAACAGAGGGAGAAGGGTTAGGGGGAAAATACACACATGGCCATATGCACATGCATGTGTGCACACACACAGTCTGCTTTTATACAGTGGCCAAAGTTTTACAAATGTAAATGGGACTGTGTCATTTTTTCCTCAGCTCAGAGGTCCTCAGTGGCTTCCTGTGTCACTTGGATTCAAGACCAAAGACTTTACTACTGTCTTACATGGTTTGACTTCACTCTCCTATCTCTCTGATTCTGTTATCATTCTCCCTCATACCCATTTATCTTCAACCATACACTTTCCCTGAAAGTTTCTGGAACATTCTAAGCATAATCCTGCCTGAAGGCCATTACACTT